TTAGCGTTCATGCACGCGTCAGATGGATTGGTAAATATGGAAAGCTTGGCTCTTTAGGGAGGGCAGGGGCTTGAGGGGACTTTAGGACGACATCGTTTGATCGTTGGTGACCTAAATAGAGCCAGAAAAAGAACGTTTTCACCAAATGTGGAAAGCGAGACACTGCGTTTGGTCAAAGCCACTTAAATTACCGCAGCGCTCGTCGGATAACAAATTGTATTCCCTGTGCTCATTCGTCGTTCTTAATGAGTCACTGGTACAGCACCTCTCTCCGCGTTGGCAGCATTCACTGCGAATGTAAATTACAAAAATGCAGGGATGACAGGAAAGTGAAGTGTCCTCTGCTCTTAGCCCAGCTTGAGATATAACGATTCCTGCTTTATCTGTCCTCCGAAGAAGAACAAGCCTCGTGTGTGTGTGTGCGTAACAGTGAATCAGAATCGTTGTAAACGCACAAACGGGTAAGGAACACATCTGCCAAGTGTGGCTCAATTCCTTCAGAGAGAGGAGTGCCCTTAGGATTTACGGCTTGTTAGTCCGTGCCGGTGCAGGCCGGTACACGCACAATTATTAGGCTTCATGAGCCAACAATGAACGCTAATTGGAGGCGCGTGCAAATGATAATAATTAAGAATTCACGTGCGCATACCACAGTGATGGAGTAAGGGACTTGCTGGGTACCCCTCCCGCACCGAGTGCAGCCATTCTAGCAGGTATATTGGAGTTTCTTTTTTCTGTACGTGACATTGGCCAATGGACACACCTCACAGAGCCATTTATTTTTATAAAATCTCCAGCTATGGTATTGACAGCAAACTGATGAATACTGTACGGGGTGGTCCATATGCCTCGTGGACCCCCAATAAATTAATCCCCCATACATTTTCACACCTTTGCATATTCGTGTGTTTTTAATAAACCCGACTTAAACGATTGAGATAATTTAATGCGGGTCACAAGACATTTGGACCACCCTGTACTTTGGGCTATGAACAGCTTTCATTTACAACGTTTAGAAAGAGCGAATGCAGGCAGTTTAGTTTGTGATTCCAAAGTTTAAGAAAATTATGAATTTGTGTGATTAGCCGTAACGCATGAATGAAGTTCCCGGTGATATGATTGAAATGTTGAAGCAGTGCTGCTTGAATGGGCTCTTGTTTGGTCTTGGGGGAATTATATTCGATGGCACTGAATAAACAGCAATGGCTATGAGAGGTGGCTGGGTGGCTCAAGGGGATAATACCCCTCCGAGCTCTGAGCCGACACTGCCGAGATCTTGGGTTCGAATCTGAACAGACACCCGTGATTAAACTGGGTTATTGAGTGTCGTGAATTGATGGTCTCAGCCTGGTCACCAATGGCTGCATAACAAACATAAAAAACCACCATCATTTTAAATGTATTTTTTTCTCTCTCACTTGATTTGCCTTATTCCAGCTCTGAGAATAATATTGTTTGATTTGATCGACATGCAACAGAGAGTCTTTGCAAGGCAAACACTCACGTGCCGCGAGTGTAGCTCGCTCCTATTGAAGTGACTCCCTCTGGTGTCCTTCACCGGCACAGTTATCTGCATCGTAAGAGGAAACAGACGGATACTGAATGCTTATTTTGTTGGATTGCATTTATTTGTACGTTCCTTCATACAGTGATGATTTGTTGTGTATATACATAGTTGGGACATTTTGGTTTACGTGGGTGGCAGCTCTGCGGAGTGGTAACACCCGTGCCTCAAAGCAAGAAGGACCTGGGTTTCATAGCTGACTCGGGCGCCGTCCCGTGTGGAGTTGGTGTGCTCTCGCCCTGTTATGCTGCATGGGTTTCCTCAAAGATCTCTGGTTTCGTTCCACCGTCTACAAGAACCCCACGCGCAATGTAACCGGTATCGGCCAAGCATCTCAATTGCTCAATTGGGATGACCCATTGCAACAATGCCCCCTACTGCAAAAAAAAAACAAACGTGGCAGGAGCCTCTCTAAAATAATCTTGAGACTTCCTGGGCAAATAGGCGTAGTAGTAATCATAATAACTGTCGATGGTCCCTCAGTGCAGGGACTGTAGTGAGTTAGTTAGGGTCACCAATATTTGCGTAACGAGCGTGGGGGCAAGGGGGTCATCTTGCCCCTCTCCCTGGTGGCCAAAGCTACGAGTTGGGGCCCCCTTGACAACCAACCTGGGGTGCTTTCCACGTTTTTTAAAAATTAATTCAAATGAAATCTTGGAGCCCCACGTGACCGATTGCCGCACACCCTGAGTTGACAATGTAGATACGTCACTGGTTACTAATCACAAAGTGTTTGGTTTTGAACTAGATTTGGTCCAGCACTGTGATATTGATTATAAAAAGAAAAAAAAACACCCTGGACTTGGCAATACTGGAATGTAGTTGAACTTGAACTTTGTAGAGGTTGGTAGTAGTAATAGTCATTGCGGAGATAACTTCATAGCTTGGGTTTATTCTGATACAGTGCGGAAGAAGTCCGAATTTTGGTGTGTTCCCATCATTTAGTAATGTGACTGTGACATTGAGTTGAGGCATCGGTGGGACAACGTGACCTTCTCAAGCACCTACACTACAGAATGCTGCTATTCTCCAGAGGCATTGTGAGATGTGTGTGTGGGGGGGGGGGGGGTTGCTAGGTTTTAAGTAGTCTACCATGTCAGAAGGTAAGGTTGTTTTATAATTGGACCACATAGTTGTTTTTGAAATGTGTGCAGCAGTTTTGAAAACGTTTTGTCAGTCCACAGATATTGTTAGTCCACCGATATTGTTAAGCACAGTCGACTATATACATATATACTTGTGTGTGATAGAACTGAGTGACAAAATTGGAAGGTTGAATTGGGAAATTAGATATCGCTGGAGCAGCCATTACAATACCGTCTGCTCCACTGTTCTTGTGAATTTGATAAAAGTAGCTTCATTATGCGTCATTTACGTGCGGTGCATGATTACACTGAAGATAGCCCTGACATATATATACACACACACACACAGGCACGTGCGTTATGATGAACACTTTGACAATGATCCAGTAAACTCTGCAACGTTGAGCCAACGTTGGCATGTTGTTGGAGCTCATGGTCCAACGTTGGCCCAACATTTGCATGCGGTTGGAGCTGTTGGCACAACGTTGGCATGTGGTTTAAATCGACGTGTGGTTGGAAAGTGTTCCCAATATTGGCCCAACAATGATCCATCTTTACTGGGTGCACCGTGCAAGAAAAATAAAGTGGGTTATTAGCATCATGCCACATTGCAGTTGGTGCCTGTTCACACAGTGCTGTGCCCTTATTTGTACTCAGACCATCACTCAAATCAAACAAATGTAGACACGCTAAGTGTCGGATATAATTATCTTAACCATCTACGTCATGTAGCAGCAGGCCCAATTCGCAACCCCATTTATGTCCTTTGAGCCAGTATTCATTACTATGATCAGGACACACAAAGCAAGGCAATTTGGAATTGCAAATGAGCAGTACTCAAAAACCTCGACGCAGCAAAGGTGCAGCCCTGCAAATGCTTACTCACACCACTGCCGGCGGAATGGTCTCCACTGGAGGTTAGAGCTCTAGAGGGGATATTGGTCTCCTCTTCTATGCTCACCAGATATTTCAGAAGAGATCGTTTAAATGTACACATGTAAAACAAAACAATTAAGGATACATTAAGCAGTGGCTCTGAACGTGCGACTTTGTTTGGCTGTGTGAAGCTCTCGTTCCTGTTCCTTTTAGGATCGGCTCCACAGTTTGTCTATCACTGCATCGCTGGTAATGTCACTTGGTCGAATTTGCTGAAATGTATTCACATGGTCATTGTCGACAAGAGGACCATAAAGCAACTTCTTCAGGAAGTGATGATGAGAGTTTTACACAAACGGCTGCGTGCATTGTACACGTGTTTGGAACAACAGCACCCATGGAATGCAGATTTGAATTACATCCCATGCACTCGCAATCGCCGAACACGTGTGCATAATGCGACGGGCAATTTCTTGGCAAATTGACGGCACGGGAATATAATGTTCACATTAAATTTGCACTGAGTGGAATTGCCTCTGCAATATTTTATAGGCGTTTTAGTGCCTCTCCGTTTCAGGTGAAGTAAATGTCTATAATCACTTCGGTGTGTGTGTGTGCCCATGCATGTGTGTGTGCTTGTAATGCTGTGTGGAAGCTACCAGGCCCATCCCTCCTTATGAAACTCCGTGTCTTCTCGACTGCAATTATGCCCTCCCTTTTCTATGCTTGTGAAATGTGGAGTCCTTTAAATGAACATTTATGCTGGTTTGAAACATTCAGGCTGGGCTGCCTATGATCCATCATCGGTTTAATTAGGCTGGATTGTGTAACGAGCTCACAGATCCTTGAAAGATCTCGTCACAGTCACATCAGTGAGCTCCTCCAGCAGGTGAGGCTGCGTTGGTTGGGTCATGTAGCACACATATCCAGCCACTGCATGCCTAAGCAGCTTCTGTTTGACCATATAGAGGGGGCTAAATGGGCAAGGCACGGGCTAAAGAAGAGATTGAGCTGATGTGTTACAGAAGGACGTGGAGCTGATTGGACTTGCTGATGACGAGTACAAGCAGTGTCAAGGTTGGCCTCTGTGTAGGAGGCTCGTGAAGGACACTACTGGGTAATTGGAGGCAGTCGCCCTACAGTAATAACGGAGAACAGAGGAGCGTCGCTCGTATTGAGCAGAGGACCGGGCGGCAAAAACGCAGAAATATGTTACAGTGTGGAGCACAGGTGGTGCACCTGCCAGTCATCTCATTCAGTCAACCCTTTGGCACCTGGGTCTGTCCCGTGACGTCCTGTTAGCGAGCCTTCGATGATTCGCGTGGCTTCACAGTGCATCTAGCCTGGCACAAGCACTGTGGTGACATCACCACCACTTAGTGGCAAATGGTAATTGTTATTGTTGTTATATGCGTGTAATCCATGTACTGTGTATGTAATGTACATATTGTTAATATATTTGGTTTGCTTTACAGATCCTTCAAGTGAAAAAGTCAAGATGAACATCTTCACCATGAAACTAAATTCAAAAGTGGTGGTGGATATTCCAAAATCCTCAGGGGAAATACTTCTTCCAAAGAAGTTGTAGAGAGCATTCGAGAAAGTCGCAGTATGCACAAGAACAACGGAAGAAAGTCTGAAACATATCTACAAAATAAATTATTTAACAGATAAAAAGACTTCTCAAAGCATTTTTGCGGGAGAAAATATTTTTCTAATGGTGTTCAAAAACATTTCCAACATAGACACGCAGCTCGAATACATTTTCAACAGCTTTGAATTTCACGTGATTAGTTTCAAGCATTCCCATAAAGTTTGGAAGAAAAGTAAATATCACGTTCTGTGCCAAAAGATCCAGAGGACATTTAAAAAAAAAGCGCCAGTAAGCTTCTAGCACGAGTGAACGTCTTCAACGAATTGCAAAGGGGCTTTGATGAATCCTTACGAAGCGTACACATGGACTTCCACAGCCACCTTCCATTGATGACGTTTCAGTTTCTCCACCATGCGTCACCGATAGAGCCGCTTGTCCGTGGTTCCTTGGTGTTTTGCGAGCAGTGACCGCCTGTGACAACTCGTCCCTTCCCACCCTCGCCGGGGCAGGCCCGGGCACTGAGCATCATTCTCCCTTTGGGTTTAATGTTTGGCGTGGACGATGGCGTAACGGACGGCAGGAACGATGTCATGGCCAAACGGAGGAAGGGAAGTCATCAAGAGTGAGCGCCCTCATTCCTTGCTCTGCACCGTCTCTACAATGCATTGTTACGCCACTCAACAGCAACCGTCATCATTAGCCGCGATCGACCTACTGCTTAGTGAAGGTCTCCCCCAGAGCCGTCACCATGTCCTCATTATCCCATGATGGACTAATTCAACTAGTACCTTCTCACGAGCGGATTTCATCACTGTTTTTGATGGACGACGTCTTAGATGGGTTCCATTCCTTGGCTGCCACCCCTGCCTTATTATTAACCACCGGCCACAACAACATAATTCTTTATTGTTAAAATGTGTGTACATGCATAAAATTCCCAGTGTGTATGTGTATATATGCATTCATTAGTTTCTTTGTAGGTAGCAGAGACACGCATTTATTTGCAGGTCGCATATACATACGCATGACGTGTAGTTTATGCAGTTTTTTTTTCTACGAGGGGTGCACCAAATAGCACTCTTTTATCAAATATCAAATGCATAATTAAGTATTCAGCCGGATTTTAACTTGAAGCCGAATGATAATTCGAAATCTTTTTCATAAGTCATTACACTGCCACGCGCCATCAATGAATCAGACGAATGTACGGTTGGGGTTTCAGTCGAGCAGGCCTGGCTCCCTTTCTTACCTCCCATTATTCCCCTCCTCCCTTACCTTAATTCGCTGCCCTATGTCACCTGACTCACATCTCCCTTTATCCCTTACCTCTCGCTGACCTCTCTCACCATGCATCCAAATTGTAGAAACGGTATTCATTTTCCCAATTCAATTTCCATAAAATATCTTCGAATGTTGCTGTGAAAAGCCTCAGTGAGAGTATGTCTCCTCCGTCTTACTTGTGACTTCATGCAGTCTCTGTATAGCTGCTCCATCTTCAAAAATGCATTTGGTCATTCCTATATATTTTTTTTATTTATTTGCAAGAGCAAGGGTGGCTGCATCATTTTCCACTGAATAAAATATTCCTGTTTATAGACTACAAAAGACAGGTACAATTATATTCGGGATTCATTTTCCAATTTTACAGTGTGTGCGGTTAATGGTAGAATTGAAACAGAATTGATAAAAAAAGTTGCTGAAATTCAGCTCAATTCAAAAGCGGATAGAATATTTGATGCATGCTTAATTATAATAATATTTAAATGCAACTATTATTGTGCTGATTAAATATATACGTTGTTAGAATATAACCAAAATGTGTTCCACTACCCAGAACGTCCCTCTGTATGATGACACACTAAGCCATCTAATTCTGATCATGGCGTACCATAAGTCTGTGATGGGTTTAACACTGTTGATATATAAACACATGAATGTGCGTATGCACATTTGGCTTCACGACTGTTTCCACCATTTCAGAATGTATCCTACAGAACACTTTGCTGCAATGTTAACCACTAATCACAAAATTGTGTTCAACATAAGCTATATGTAAACCCAATTACTAACGGTAGATATTTGCATACACATTCACTTGGACTTATGTTGATATGTATATATGAGCGAGCTGTTCCCGAAGGCTTATGTCTAATTTTCTCAATATATATTTTTTTATTGAACTGACAAAAACATGTTGATATTCGTTCGTGGGAACATCATGAACATTTGGATATTTCCAATTATCCGTGTCCCTTCCTTGCACTTGTGCCAGCATGGAGCCAGGGCCAGCTTTATAACGGCATGAAAGGCTGTGACTGGCCTCTAATCGTTTTTGGAACAGCATCGTGCACTACAGCAGCGTCATTAACAAAAATGTGTTTGCTATGCAGGCCATTGTTCAAGAGTGGAAGTAGAGTGGATGGAGCAGCACGGTCCACCTGATATGTGCAAATGGTCTTTTGGTGTTCCGAGGCTCGTGCCGCGCAGCGCGGATGGCTTTGTACCGTGCAGATTTCTAGACATTCTCGCTAAATACAGACTTTCAGAAATTTAATTGATTATGTTTAACACGTAGGTTTTCGCAACCAATATTATTCGTAATATTTGTTTTGGGTTAGATCGCGTAAATATAAATGTGCCGTTAACCCACCACCACCCGACACAGCCAATTAGTTAGGTTTGTCAAGTCAACAAAAAATGCCAATTAGTTACTATGAGAATAGGTTTTCCACTTTTTTTCCGGCAAGAAAACAGGTGTTAAGATGTTAAAACACCAAACATAAACCTTTTACAAGGAATCATGTCTGGTCTAACACCTTTTGAGACTAGGCTCCAAAGCTGTCTCTGGTGTGGACCAATCGGTTTCAAAGACAATGGATATATTATCAGAGTATGTTTTTTGTTTGCATTATGACCACAAGTATTGTGGTTAATGCAGACATGATTCCTTGTAAAAGGTTTCAGTTTGGTGTTTTAAAATCTAAACACGTTTCGTTGCCAGAAAAAAAGGGGAAAACCTCTTCTCATTTTGTTAACTGGCAAAGGAGGTCCCATGAAATCAGTTACTAGTTCAGCACACCGGTGTGTTGGAGAGTAAACCCACGTGTATTTTTTCACGATTTCAAGATAGGTGGCGTTGCTTCTGGGGCATACATCCCACACGTTTCATAAAAGCTGTAATGTAGCGTGAATTTCTATTCCCCCGGCTACAGGGGCCCGGGAGGCTTAGATGAAACGGGACGCAGAGATGAGAGAACCAGAGCGAAACGGTGAGACGCTCGCGCGCCGCACGTCATCGCACCGTCCCACGGACGGGCACAGCGTTGCGCCCCAAACACGTGCCCGCGGATCCAAGCCAGTGCTGCGCTGCTCACCCATGCGGCTTTTAAGAGGGGCCGGGTACAATCCACCTTGTCACATCGGCTAATTTCATTGTCACCTTTGTTGACATTTTTAGCCAGGTGAAAAATGTATCGCGACTCATCGTCTGTTGCTGGTTGTTGCATGCTTGCCCCCAGGAGAACACGTCACGTATTTATTATGTTGATATGTTTTGGACGTTTTTTAAGATTTAAGCTCGTCAGCATCATCAACGTCTTAATCAGCCACGATCCATCCACTGCTAGATGACTTCACCAAGCCATAGCCTGTTACGGAACTAGCTCCTGCACACACAATGATTTCATCACTCCATCTCCACAGCGAACGCTTCCTCTTGGGCGTGTTCCCTGTTTTTTGGTTTCCACTCCATCGTTGAATCAACGTGCAATTGCATACAGTGCTGTTGTAAACCTATTTTATAATTGGGTAATTGATGAATTTACAATTGAAAGTTGATCCAGTAATGACAATGGAGACCTCACCCTCGTTGTCACAGTGACAGTTTTATTATACGAGTGGTTCAGAATGCCCCCTCTGCATATAAATCATCAACATTGACAAAATCTGCTCGCCAAAAGTTAGCGCTTTAAACACCCCCCCCCCCATCCACACACCTTTTTCTTGATCATTGTCCCAGGTATATATCCACGGTCAAGTCTGTCCTCGATGGATCTTCTCACAGCTCAGCTCAAGGGGTGCCTGGCTCCCAGCAAGTCATTTAGCCGGGGGTGGCGGACGGGCGGGCGGGCGGGCGGGGGTGCAATTTTTGTAAATTGCGGCAATTGCGGGGTGAATCTCCGTAATGAGCGTGGGGGCGTCCAGGCGCATTCACCGCCGTGGCCACTCTCTTGACCGCTGTCGCTTCGGCGCGTGCAGCGCTCAGCGGATCCGTTCGGAGAAGAAGCGGCGGAAGCAGTTCAACGAACTCATCAGCGAGTTGGGGGCGCTGCTGCCCGATGGCCAGTCCCGAATGGACAAGCCCACGGTCCTGCAGCGGACGCTGCACTTCTTTAGCAGCCACCACGGTGAGTGTCCCCGGACAGTGGCCCCGTGTGTGTATATATAAAACAAACAAACTCGGCACCGACGACGGCGTGCATTCTTGCACCGAAACGCACGATCCCAACGCCCGTCTCCTCTGTTGCCTATCAGCCGGTGGTTATGTCGCACCTACAGTTAGCACGGTTGGCTACGGACGGTGCGAAAGACGGTCAACGTACACACACGCATATTTGATGGCACCAGAGAGATAGACACGACCGATGGTTTTCCCGTTTTGTTCCGATCTTCGGCATCTCTCGTGGGAGAGTCTCGTTCATCTGTTCACACTGCCCCACCAACTGATCCAACGCCATCCCTCTTCCCTTTCATTTTCTCCTCGCCAAAATCATCTTTACAATTTCTCCAGCAAATGCAACCTTCTCGGAATGTACCCGCTGGGTTTTGGATTGATTTAACCCCCCCCACCCCCATGAAAATCGGGGCCCACATGCAACATTTTGGATGATCCCAAAACACTGCTCTGCATCAGAAAGTATTGATGCCACGTGCAATGACTTTGCGTCAAATTCACGTCCGCGCTTTTCCTGCCGGGCGTGGTGTGACCACGTGGCACACCGGGTGACGTCACTTTCGCGAGCACCACGACGCGTTTCATTCGTGGTGACCTCGTGCGGACGGCTCTGAAAAATTAGGAGAGAAAAAAATATCGCACTCCGAAATATGTGCGTGTGTGTGTTCAGCTTCTTTCGCGCCGTACGTAGCCGACCGTGCTCAATCGGAGGTGCCGGGAGGACAACATACGATACACACGACGTTTTCATCCAATACTCATTCCTGTCACCTTCCGAGAACGCTTGTCAGTAATTCCTGCGATGTAACCATTCTCTCTGAGCACATGTTCATTTACCCCTCCCCCTCCTATCCCACCAGCTTAACTCGTTCCATTCTTCTCTAACGCCACATCTGATGTCAGTTTGCAAATAACCCACCCGCCTTTGTTCATTTTGACGACGCACGCAGGTATGAAGCCAGCGAGTGATGTCAGATACACTTAGAGATGTGCACAGAAAACAAAGATCCCCCGTGTAGCCTTAACAGACTGTTGGGCCAAGTGCTGTTAGCGAGCGCCTACGAAGGCCGGCACCCCACACGAGGGGGTGGGTGGCCAGCACCACGCCCGACCGCCTTTGTCTCCCCAGTGGCGATGTTTACTACGCACCACACTAGGTACTTATTTGAGGCCGAGTCGACCTAGGGGAGGCCCAAGACCGGTTCAGATAATCGTCACCGGTGTCGGCCGTGTGCGGGAATCAAACTCGGGCCGCCGGGGTTCCTAGCGCAGCGCGTTAACCGCTACTACACCGCCGCTCCCCACATCGTGATTCACGCACGCTTCTTGATGTGTCCCCGTGTCCCTCCTGGCCTTTGTGCAGTCCATTAAATATCACATCAACAACAATAACAATCATCAGCCATTGTTTATCCACTGCTGAATGAAGAAACTTCCCACACCCCCTTGGCGACGATCTCTACGATGCCACTATTCATCCCACTTGTATGCAGTCGCTGATGTCACCGCTTTCACGTTCACGTTCGTTCTCTTGGGCGTGTTCGTTTTTCCCCATGGCTGACATTCTGTCATCGGTCTCATCACGTCGGCCAGCGTCGTTTGTAGCCACGTGCACTGCCCAAGCCCACTCACTGTACTTGATTTAAAAGTCAACACGATGTTTTTAATGTGCGCTTGTTCTCTGATCCATGTGTGTGTGTGTGTTTTTAAAAAAAATATCTCAGTGTACAGGGTGTTCCAGATATCTTGTCACTCCACTCCCGCAATTATTTTACCCCGAACAATTTTTCCCTTTGCATATTTATTTATGTTTTAAGTAAACCTTACGTTAAAAGAAAAAAAAACCCCATTAAATTTTGATTTAAAGCTTTCGTGACTGCAGTAATTCATATTCTTAGTTTTTTCGGTAAAGTCACGTTGAAGAGAAACAACACGTTGAAGAGAAACAACAAAATAATACTATATATTATTTTGTTGTTTCTCTTCAACGTGACTTTACCGAAAAAACTAAGAATATAAACCCCATTAAGTTTTAGAGATTTAAATGGGAGCCGCAAGACATCTGGACCATGCTGCACACGGAGCTCGCATCTTTCCCCGCTTGTTTGTGCACTTTCCTACGCTCGTTCTGTGTTCTTTGTCAGCGTTCGTCTTCATGCTCCATGCGTCATAACCGGCAAGATGCACCGATTGAAATATAACAAGTATTGTATTGTGTTGCAATGTAGGTTAACAGAGGTAGCAGAGTTTGACAATGTAGGCCAGTGGTTGGTTGCATAAAGTATATTGTGTAATACCGTTGCGTCGGTTTGCGCGGTTGTGCCGCATAGCTCTGTGACGTTTCTGGGTTATGCCGCGTGATGTCTGCCGTTTCCCTCCCAGCACGTGCTGCGAAACATCGGGCATTGTGCCCAAAAACACGCAGAGAACAACTAAGAAAAAAACGCATCGGACAGCTATCTCCTGCTCGTTTCCCTGTCGGTTTCCCATTATGCGTTGCCTGCAATAGCTGCCCCTTACACGTGTCCCTCCCTCTAGAGCTGAACGTGGAACAGGAGACCAACGAGCCTCCTCCGCCGTGGAAGCCAGCTTTTCTCAGCAACGACAACTTCACGCAGCTCATTCTCGAGGCAAGGGGTCGCGGTTTTCGAAATCGCGTTTCGAAGATCGCAGGATCCGCATAACGAGGAGACGATTGTTTAACAACAACAGTTTAACACGTGGGCTTTTGCGACCAATATCATCCACAATACAGGTGTCTTGGGTTAGATCGCGTAAATATCTAACCCAAAAAAACCTGTACTATGAACAACAACAACAACCAGTGGAATGCATCGCCAATGCATGACCACTGCGAGCACCCCCCGACGGCTCGAGTAGTATTCACTCGAACAACCGAAGCCACCAGTTGGATTGTCACCCGATCTATAGATGCTACTCAATTCGTATCCATACGAAAGACATTTTAAAATTGTTTAACAGAATAGTTAATTCAAGGGCAATTCTGGATCGTACATATTTGTGAAACTCTCAAACCTGCCTTGCTGCTGCAAGTTGGTCAGGAATTGGGCAGTACAGAAACTTATTGCAGGTAGTCCCCGACTTACGATGGAGATGCGTTACGACGACCCCATCGTAAGTCGAAAATATCGTAAGTCGAAAATGGCCTAGCCCTACCCAGAAGTCTTAAAGAATGGTGATAATTGAGCAAAACAGAGAAATTTACAGTACCGTACTGTATAAACTATATACTGTATTGATTAATTACAATACTGTATTGCACAGTAACATTTTAAGTAAAAAACAAGGTAAATTTTCAGCCTACCTATATGAACTGCAATTTCATAGAAAGTTTTTTCAGGAAACTATCCTATCTGCTATAAAAAACTTTTAACATGCATTGGACGTATGTATCGTATCGTGGTAACCCTAAAATGAAATCGTTAAAGCTACGTATCATACATGCATTGAACGTATCGTAACTTATCCTATTCTACTGTACTCACCAAGATTCTGTCCGTCGTCTGCATACTTGAACGATGTTAGGTTGTTGATGGCTACATTAACTTAGTTGTCGGAAGAGGAGGATGGCGATGATAAAGTACAGTTATCGTACCTCGTACGCTGCTGCGTTTGCCTGCCGCGCAAAATTAAAAATATTTTACAATTTTGTCATATCGCTATCGCCATCGTAAGATCGAAATATCGTAAGTCGGACCATCGTAAGTCGGGGGACTACCTGTATTTCTAATCATTATGTGCAGAGCTTTGAGTGTTATGTGTTGTTTTTTTTCCTTCTGGGTACTCCAATTTACTTCCAGATGCCAAACAATGGGTTTGAGCCAAACACCCCAAGGCAAAACTGTCCTGACTCTCTGTGGGGCTCAGAGAGATGTGATATGAACGTCTGTGTGTCTGTTTATATGTGTACGTGTGTCTGTGTATCCGTACACGTGTCCACGTGTATAATGTTCCTTTATCCGTCCTCCCCGCAGGCCATGGACTGCTTCGTAATTGTCGTGATGAGCAGTGGCGAGATCTCGTTCGTGTCCGAGAGCGTCACGTCGCTCCTCGGTTACCTGCCAGTGCGTAAGGCGCAGCGACCACGTGCACAGCTGCTCTAACATCGACAAAATTGAACGTCACTCTTACCTGGAACAAACTTAATTGTTTGGCGAGATGTTAACTACCTCGCCTGGTATACCAGAGGTCGCGGGTACGATCCCGACCCTCACTTCCGTGTATTTGGAGTTAGCATGTTCTAAAAAAAGAGCTATATAGCTCAGTGGGCCTTACCTGCTAAAATTTTTTGTTTACATTTTTTAAATTTTAATTCCAGAAGAGTAGCAAAAAAGAGAGTCCAAACTATGACGCTACTGTTGTTGTGCCTTCCTCTGTCCCTCGTTCCGCCTTTCCCGTCACCCCTCTCCTGCTCTCCACCTTCCCTCCCTCTCCCGTGCTGTTTCCGCCATTGCGCAGAGTGAGCTCCTCAGACAGAACCTCTTCGATTTCGTGCCGGAGCACGAACAAGCGGAGCTGCGCTGCCTTTTCCAGGCTGACCTGAGCCAGGTGCAGGAGGGACCCCCCGAAGCCCCGCAAGGTGCGTGGTGACCGTGCCGTTCGGCCCAAGAGCACGGTGGTGGCGGCGTGCTGCCCGCGGCGCCGGTGCTGACCGGGCCCCCGTGAGCACCGGCGATCCAACCGACACACGGCGAGCAATTTGGCGAATTGGTTTGCCGTTGAACGCGCCGCCGCCGTGCCGCCGTGTGTTCACGGAGCGTGGCTGGCCCACGGCGAGTTGGGAGATTCCCAAATGTGGCACCGTGCTCCTAAGGAGAGAATGCCACATAATGTGATTTGCATTCGCATTCCTGGCGCGTGTGTGTGTCTGTACATCCGTGGTGGTTGAACCGCCATATAAGGGGAGATTTGAAGGTGACGCAGGGCAGGTCTAATTACTTCCTGGCAGTTGCGTTAGTTAATTAGATTTTCACATTAAGAGTCACATTAAGATGAACCTACTGTTCCGTTACACCCTGGGTTTTTAAAATCTCTATAAGGGTGAACTTGCCAAATCCACGTGCATTATTACACCCATGCCTGCTTCCTTTCTTCTGTTTGAATGCAGTAAATTTTAAAGCAATTTGCCATTCATAAGCAAGACGGCAGCTCGCAATGACCCAGTGTCGCAAATTGTCCACATTTGTTTTCCCTTTCTCAAGTTAGCACACAGAACATTTCATCCTGAAGACGGCGTTGTTCATATGTTATCATCACGATCATCATCATCATTATCATCGAAAGTGTTGTGTGCCAAGATAGTAGATACATGCACGTGATCCCGCACTTTGGATGCAAGGGTTGGCGGATCATGAATGATTCGTGAAACTCCCAAGTCTACTAGGCTGTGCGTTGGCTCGGCGATGGCAGTACAGTACAACAAGTGAGTTTGTAAACCCGTCCTTTTTGAACTTTTGAGTGCCCGTCGAATATACACAAGTACGACGAGGAGACTGAAATACCACCCTGATTGGTCATAAACAGACTTATTGTGCCAATTGCCACAGATGCTTAACTGGGTTGGCTCACAGGCGTAGGCAGGTCATGCACGATGTCACCTGGACCTCTGCTAGGCAGACGCAGCATTAAATGATTCCAGCGTTACGAAGACCAAGGTAGCCACGCACAGTGATGATCACCTTCCCGTGTACCGGGCAAGCTTCAATGATCATGGCTAAATCAAAGTGGTTTGTATCGTTCGTGGTGAAGGGTGTCCATGGTGTAACTTGATACCCTAAACGAGATGTTACATCTCAAAAGATTATACAGGTTTAAAAAAAAAGTTGAATTAAATAAAATGTATATGGCAATGAAAACCAGTTACAATCTGAATAAGTTACTTCGGATTTACTTAAAAATACACAAATCGCAATGTACTTATATTACTGATGACTATGATGGCTAATAGCATGCACCCCCAACAATCTTGAAGCCTCAAAGGGGAAAAAGTGTTTTGTGGATGCTCGCCAACGGCACTTTGCCCCAACTCTGTCAGAGGTTTGTTACATGGAGAGAGGGGGGGGGGTGGGGGGACTCGGTGGGGGATGGGGAGGGGAATGGGGGGGGGGGCGACCTCTGTCCGTGTCTCGTGCGTGAACGCAGCGGGCGCGCCGAATGAGCGGCACTTCGAGTTGTGCTGCCACCTGCAGCGCGGAGAGGCACTCGCGCACTTCGCTGCGGGACAGACGCCGCCGCCGCTGCCGCCGCCGGCGGTGGCGGCGTCGTCGCGCCCCGCCGAGGAGGCGCCGACTTACGAGCGAGTGAAGCTCAGCGGCTTCCTGCGCCTGCACCTGCACGACGAGCAGGGTAACAACCCCTGGCAAAACCGCGGGGCCGCCGGCCGCCTCTCTCCCCACCCCTGCAGCACCACGTGGAGGTGGTTCAGGGGGCTCGCGGAGCCGACGCACTGCCGAGGGTCATGGGTTTAGTTCTGGGCAGCCACCTTGCCTGGTTTAAATGAAGATGTTGATCCTTCGGGTGATGCTTATTACATTGTGCGGACGCGCGTGCGTGAGTCAGAATCGGAATCTTTGTTTGTCGTGGAGGAATCCGATGAGCTATGAAGCTTTTTTTCACAGATGTCCAGTAGGGGAGGGTCAGGAAGTTACAAGGGTGTAAGAAGGGTGGTGTGCTGGCCACCCACATCCTCGTGTACCGTGCCGGCCTAATTAGGTGCTCGCTAACAGTCTGTTCAGGCTACAGATGTCTTCTTTTGGTGGTCATCTGTGGGGAGCGGTTGCTTTGTGGTTAGCGCGCTGCGCTACGAACCCAGCAACCCAAAATCGATTTACGCTCCCAGCACACATCAGTGAATATCTGAACCAGTCTTGGGCTTCCCCTAGGTCTATTCAGCCTTAAGTGAGTACCATACCTCGTGCGGTGTGTGAACATCAGCACTGGGGAGACAAAAGCGGCTTGGCATGTTGCTGGCCGCACTTCCTCATCTGCCATGCAAGCCTAGATAGGTGCTCACTAACAGTACTTGCCCTAGCCGTCTGTGTAGGCTACACGGATGGTTCGTTGTCTTTGTGTGAGTGTAGATGTGCGTGCATGTCCGTGTAACTCATTATTCAAAGTGGAGGGGTTACAAGTCTACTGGCTCTGCCATATAGGGTTTGGCCAGGGGACAAGATAGACGCCTGGACCCTCGGGGCCGATGGAAAGTGTCTTCTTCGGTTTGTTTTCTGTAGTTCTCTCGGGTTAAATACATTCAGAGTAGAGGGGTTACTCGTCCCCGTTTTCCACCGTGGCAGATGTGAGCATGCCATCAGCTGACAAACCTCGGCCTCTCCAGCAGTGGCAATGCTCGCCATGTCGAGTGTTACCGTCGTGAAATCATGGCGAGGTGGGAGTTGTTTTGCCAGACTGAGTGTTTTTGTAACTCAGAATTCTGCCCTTGAGAAAGAGACTTTTAGTCTCAATGGGTTCTCAGTAGGTTTTAATCAATATCTTGACTAATTGGGCTATATTGGCCTGAAATGTCATGCAGATGATGCATAAACAGTAATTGGCCCTTAGCAAATTACGAGCCCGTAGCCATAAATGTATTAGATGCATTCTGCTGGTTCTGCTACTGCTTTGAGCAGCGTTAGAGAGAGAGTGCGGCTTCTCTCAAGCCACTAACAACTGATCATGCCTCGTGACCACCTGAAGTAGCGAACATTCTACACGCGACACGGCCTCAAAGTGCACGCACCTAGCCTGGCACAATCACCGCGGCGACGTCACCGCCAAATCGCTTGCGGCGAATGGCAGTCTGATTGCCGACGTTCCGTCTCCGCAGCGGAGGTGGCGGCGGGGCCTTGCCTGTCGGAGGAGCCTTCGGGGACAGAGGAGCCAGCGACCACCCCGGGGGTGCCAGGGGGTCCGCCGCGTCCGCCTCCCTGCCTCGTCGCCTCGGTCCACCTCCTCACGTCGCAGTTCATCAAGGTGCGCCATCTGCAGGGCGGCTGGGGCATAGGCCCCTAACCGGGGCGGCGCCAACCGTTGACAACTGAACCAAAAAGTCAGTTTAACACGTAGGGAGGGAGCGCTTTCGCGACCAATATTATCGGTAATCGAAGGTTTTTTGTTGTTGTTGTTGTTGTTGTTGTTATTGTTGTTGGGTTAAATCACGTGAATATAAATGTGCCGTTAAACCCGCCACTGCAATTGTGGCTGTCACCTGATGTGGGCTGGTTGTAATTACCGGCAAAACGTCGTACTCGAATTGTAAATGTTGTGGGTTTAACTCTCCAACACACCGGTGTGCTGAACTAGTAACTCACTGGAATGTTTTTTTTTTACGTGACACTCCTTACTAATTGGCTGTGTTGGGTGGTGGCGGGTTTAACGACACATTCATATTTACCGAATCCTACCCATAAAGCCTCTATTATGGAGTAAAAATTCTGTCAAATTAGGTGTCATTACCATCTTGGCAATTATATATATATTTCCGTTGGGAAAACTCCGATGATAAATTAATTGATCAGAAATTGTACGACGAAATTGTTTGTAGAAAAATGTACTGAAATTCGCTGTAAAAATCTGACACAATCGATATTAAAAATCTGCTGAAATTAACAAAAAAAATGCGACCAATATTACCATAGAAATATGAAAACATTGCAATATATGCATAAAAATAGGTGTTATAGGCTGCTGCAGGTCACCAACCCACAATGACTAGCGTGGTGAAGTATCGTCAAACTTCCCCCAAGACCCACATAGCATGGTCGAGCATTCATCCTGCAGCGTGATTGACAGAGGGTTACGCATTTATGTGCATGCTCATGTATATAGAATATATATCAGCCCCCTCATGTTGTTCTCTGTGCCATATTTCATCCCAAGTCACCCTATGAAGGAGCTAGGTGTGTTGTCTCAGTGAGGTTCTGACAGATTAATCCAGGTTAAATGAAAACCAACTAGTTTCATGATTACTGTGTTGGCGGTGGTGCACAAGCCACAAAGACTCGACACATTCATCAATAACATTGCCTTAAAAGGAAAAAAAACAAATATATAATAGGTACAATTTTTGGTAAGGGCCCTTCTTCGTAGACATATGTGCTATGAATGTGTTGCACTTTGGTTAATTGATTGAATCGTAAGACCCGGTCGACACCCGAGTGATAAGTTGGCACAAACAAAATCGCTCTCGAAATGCTTACTCCTCTTCGCTCCCTGTGGAGCATAAGGCCGCAACGAGCCCACGCCGTGCAGTGTGCAACTTAATCATCACGTGCAACTGCTTTGTCCACACCTGGGCGAGTAATTTTGCAGCAAGCATCGTACATTGCGAATTATGTGATTGTAACATCCAATCGCAGGTCGCGAATGTGCACTCGATGAAATGCATCGCTGCAATTTGCTGGGCATATCGATGCCCGAGAGTCGAGTCTGCCTCGACCGCGAGCGATTTGTTGCGGAGATGCCAGTTGCATGCAACCAAGTTGCGCAACTGAATCGCCCAGGTGTGGACGCGGCTTGAGTTTAGATGTGCAGGAGCGGTTGAGCACTGTTGGCGCTGCCCGGCTCTCACAGGAGCTGTCCTCACTGGAGGAAGCTGGCGCCGAGTTCACATCCAGACACAGCCTGGAGTGGAAGTTCCTCTTCTTGGATCACAGGTAACGGAGGAAGTGCCCAGCTGGTGGAAAACTTCATAAAGAAAAGCACCATTGTCACCATCATTGTCATCGTCATCGCCATCAGAAGCGTAATTGTCATTGCCATCGTCATCGAGACGTGTCTTCTGCCCATCTCGTATAATTGCTTCATCCGTTTCTCCTATTCTGTTCAGATGCAGATTTCAAGGTTTTATCATCATCTTCATCTTAATTTCACTGATTACTTATATCATCATTAATCGTCATTAGCTGTCATCAATGAAAACATGGCCCGTAATACCTACAGATTCATTTTTAATTCCAGACCATCGGCTAGGCCTCGGCAAGGTAAGGTAAAAGGTAAAAACAAGAAGCCTACCTTTACCCTACTTTTTACCTTACCACAAGCCTACATTTACCCTACCTTTTACCCTTACCCCATGCAAATTACCCGATTACAGGGTAATTACTGGGGTACTACACATGAACAAGGTTTATAACAGGTAAATGCTAGGTAGAGCGCTTTATTCATAGAATACTCTCGATTATTCCAATTTTAAATGGAGGCCACGGACTGCGCCACGGAGCTTTTAGCGAGCGGTGAACAAGATATTTACCGGGTAATACTTCGCGCTACCTTTACCATACCCTTTACCTTACCCCTTGGCATGGTCGACACCTTTACCCTTTTACCCGGTAAAAAGGGTAAATTACTTTACCTTGCCGAGGCCTACCGTCGGCCTTCATCCCTTCTTGTGGCGTGTCCTGCACAAGGCCACTACTTTCATTAACGGTCAGAATGATGTACTGTAATTAACCTGCGTATGCTCTCTAATCCACGCGTTTCTCTCTCTGCCTATCAATGTAATTCCAAGCAGGCATTTCTCCATGCTTCTTTTGCACACTTTTCAGGTTGTGTTCCATTTTCTTGGCTAACGACCATTTTTTTTCTGAAATAAAGAACTAAATACATACGTGATATAAACAAAAATAAGAAGACTCCGAGACAAGGATTGACCGCGAACACTGCTGTGTGGCACATCTCAGGGCACCGCCCATCATCGGCTACATGCCCTTCGAGGTCCTGGGAACGTCCGGCTACGACTACTACCACGTGGACGACCTGGAGAGCATCACGCAGTGCCACAGGGACTGTGAGTTGCGCCAGAGCAAGCGAGGGCCTGGGCCCGTTCGAACACCACTCTGGCTCACTTAGGAGCCTCCCCAGTAAAACATCGAACGTTGGGGCTAAAGTTAGGCGAACGTTGGTCAGACGTTGGTTTCAACCACATGCCAAAGTTGGCCCAGACTTGCATGTTCACTGGATAGTCGCCAACACTGTTGCTTGCGTAGGACACGCTGATTCAAGCTGTTTTTATTATGAATGCTTTCCGGCTGAGGTCTAAAATCCTGAATGCAATTAGCGCTGTTTATTGTCTGTTGGTCTGGAACGAGGGGCCCGCAATACATTTAATAAAAATTGACCAAATCAGTATAAAGTGTCACTATCAGGTGGCCCTCCTTATTCAAAACAGGCCACATTGATCAAAGGGTTACCGGGAACTTGGTGACATTAAACAGAGCACTTTCGGTATTATCCAATTAATGTAATGATATAATTAGATATGACATCACGAGACGACACGTCATGCGTGCGCCTATTATCCCAGTGAAGTGATTACGTGTGATGTCATCTCGCGACGTCACACGTCTTATGTCACGTGAAGTCAGCTCTCTCGTTGCTTTGAGCGCACGATAATGATGTACTTATGAGGACAAACGCAGTGTTAAGGAATCCGTGCTGAAAATTGTTACAGAATCCATGCGCAAGCATGGTTTTTCTTCTTTGCTATATTTGGAATATCAAGAGGAGCAGCCACTGGATGCTGTTTTAACTGTCCATTTCATTAACCGCTTGTTTGAGTAGAACAACATCGTAATTTCTACAGAACAGAGGTCTGGGGCAGCAACACAAACATGTTCGTCAGTCACAGCAAAAACAAGTAGATCTCTTTTTATAATATTATAAATGATGATCATGCAGATATCGATGCAGTGACCATTAAACTCATTAAAACTTGAATACAATAACAAATTGCCTACGTATTTCAGCTATAACTGATGTAAGAAGTTCGTGGAATTACTCTTTGATGGAATTTAAACATCTTTAGCTGGTGTGTAAAGTTTAGTGACCGCGTTTTATGCCTTTGACTTTGAAAAGAGATTTGTCCATTCTAAGCGTTTGAAAGCCCACCAGCAGGTTTTTGCAAAATCAGAAAGTATAACCTCCTGGCAATACTTTGCAGAGACCCATGTTCAATTCTAGAGAGTGCACACGGTCGAACAAGTTGGATTCCACACGCAAAACTCGTATCCCAGCAAGCACTGCTTGTGCAGGCAATGGGGCAAATCACTTTGGGTCGTGCCAATGCGTGCGAGGGTGACAAATTCCGCAGAGGCGTGCTAACGACGTGTGCGCCGCGTTTCCCCGTCTGCCAGTGAAGCAGTCTGGGAAGGGAAAGTCCTGCCACTACCGCTTTCTGACCAAAGGGCAGCAGTGGATCTGGCTGCAGACCAAGTACTTCATCTCGTTCCACCAGTGGAACTCCAAGCCAGAGTTTGTGGTCTGCACGCACACCGTACTCAGGTGCCTGTCCCCTCAGCAGCATGTCAACTACTGTGTGCATTGGGCAGTGGACAACCGCTGATACGTGTGACCCAGGGCTTAATGGCAGCCGAGTCTTTTGGTGGTTCGGAAAATATGTGTCCGCAATCTGGCACACCGCGTCCAGTCGATCTCTCACTCGAGCTTTGCCTACATACCTAATCCAGTCTAGCAGCAACTAGGACAATTTTGAAGTGACAAATTAGGCCACGGATATGAACATATACATTATATAAAGAAGGGGCAGCAGAGGTGGCCACGCAGACTAACACCATGCCAGGGGGCTAATAACAGCAGGGAGTCAGCGCCAACAAAATCCTGCGTTCGAATCCAGACAGCCACTCGTGATTAAACTGGGGTCTCGACTGCAATGAGATGACAGTCTTAGCCTGGTCATAAAGGATAGCGCCAAAAATCATATTTAATTAAATTAGTTTTTTAAATGCAGCATATTCGAGCTCTGGGAACAAAGAATTTAATTTTAATCGACATTGAATGAACGCGATTTACAGGGTATACAGTTTGCCGTGAGGGTTAAAACCATTAAATGATGCACATTATAAACGTTATATTTATTTTCCTTATACCGATCTCGTATTACAGCGCAGGATTGCGAGAGATGGTGGTGGCTTGTCGAGGCCATCATCCAGCAGTGGATTGATCATGGCTGCTGATGATGAGGATACTAATCACTAATGTCCACATTGATAGTGCTTGGATGAGTGACCATCGCATATAAAGCAGGTGTTGCAGGCTGATAGACGGCTACATTGTCAGCAGTCAGCAGTGAAGCGAAATCCGTTGCTGTCCATTACCGCTATGCTGCCTCGGCTATGTCCTTGCCTTCATGTACACACTTTCGATGTGCCTGTTCTACGTTTTGATTCTAATCAAGTCAAGTCAAATTGTTTCTCCGTTCAAATGAGCAACAGGGCGATTGTATACATTCCACAATTACACAGTACGGACCACCAAGTCTGACCACTATTGGTTGTTAACTTGCAAATAGGGCTTGATAATGAACATATAGCCCTTTGTCCATCCCGTGCTGGATGAAGGACCTCCCCGTGCTGTCAGTGACGTGTGATGTTTGACCATACTTCACCGTGCTAGTTAGTGCTGGTTGTGAAGTGGATGGGGTGGGGGGGTCAGAGAGGGAAACCCAGCATTGGTGCAGACATCACTGATGTTAGTCGTGGCTATGAATTGAACTCGGCTCTCCAGGACCATAATGCAGTACGCTAAGTTGGGGGTGGGTGGGGGGGGGGGGGAGGTGGAGGCTGAGAGTAGGAGTGGAATTAGATTAAGCTCGGTACAATCCGGGCACAATTTTTATTTTCAGTGACTTATCCCTCAGAATGTTTTGACTGCCCCTCGTGTGGGTATTTATTCACAAGGCAGAGGCACTCGCACTAATTCAGGGCTTAATTGGCTTGCCCCGGGCGGTTCCGTGAATGCACAATTCAATATCACACAATATCACACTGTGCAGTCTCAGGACAGCTACTCATTCGGCATTTCATTCATGTTTTTTGTATGCAGAAAGTATGTATGCGAGTCTAGTGGTACGATGGATTGCCCAGATCTGGAGCACCCCTGGATTTTGAATACTACACTACCATAGAGGAAAACATTACTCACTTTATCAAAACTAAAATTACTGGTCCATAACCGTTCTCCCTTAGAGTGTTTCACCTTTAATCCCCACCGTGATTGATGAAAAAAACATATGAATGTGAAGGGCTGTGTTTTGACATGTTCCTCTCACCAGCAGCTATTCTGAAGTGTTGGCCACGAGGAGGAATGTTCTGGAATTTGGGGAATTCTCAAGCGAGCTGCTCTCACCAGAGGCAGCAGAAGTGGTGAGATTTACCGAAGAAACGTTTGAAGTTGCGTAAACAATTCATGGTGATCTGTGAGAGGTGCCTCGATCCATACAATTTATTAACCCCATAATTCGCACAACGATTTTCAGAACCCTGGGATGTGCAGCTCTAAAGCCGTGGAGACACCAACAAGGGACTCAGGTCAGGGGCACTTATCGGCACAGGCCAGGCCCTTACCTGGACCATCCAGGTCTTCCCTGCAACGAGAGACCAAGTCGAAACCCCGGTCCAAGAAGAGAGCTAAGAAATCTTCCATCACCGGCGGTCGCAGGGACTCATCCGCTGAGACTCCATCCACCATTCATGGATCGCAGTTGCAACAGGAGACGGCACAACCGGTGACGGCCCAACAGGTTGCAGCACAGCAGGCGGTACAGGGATGGACAGCGAAAGAGCAGCCCCCAGCCATGGACAGCACCGTCTCGTGCGCCATGGCCTCCCGCTTCCACTGTGGCGGTGATGCCGGTGCACTCAGGACAGCGGGTGTCGGCCTTGAGCCGTCATTGCAAGCTCAGAGCATTGCCGTGAGCCAACCCACGGGCATGAGTCTTTCCCTGAACCAGTTAATGAGCCAACAACCGTCAAGCCAACCGGCGAGCCAGGCGGTCGTTCAGAACGTCGGCCAGCCGATTGGCCAGACCGTGCATCAGCAGCACATCGGCCCACCCTGGCAACAGCAGCTCGTCGTGAGCCCCAACATCGGCCAGCCGGGCAGGCAGGCTCTTGGCCAGAGCTCGAGCCAGACCGTCGACCAGAGGCTTGGCCAGGTGCACTGTAACCCTCTGAGCCAGCCGCCAGCTCAGCACCTGCTCGCAAGGCAGCCCCTGGGAGCGTCGCTCGCTGTGAGCCAGACGCCAATGCTTCAGGAGCTGCTTATCCCGAGCACCGGCGCTTTGACCGCTGCGGGCGGGAGCACAGCGACCTCATCCTGGATGCTCGACCTGGCCTGTAGGTGACGTCTGGACAGACCTGTGAGGTCATATGTTTCGAACATTTCATTGCGAATAATTCCAGACCACGCTCTTGTACTTTGTGAAGAAACCGCACCACATTTCAATTACCATATTACACAAAATTGTAAAATAAATATACATGAAAAAGCTAACATTTCAGGCAGTCGTCTTATTCAGAAGAAGGGCAATTGCCCAAAAATATACCCTCGAATAAATGAATCAATTTTTAGACAGTGTTGATGAATGTGGTGAGTTTTTTTGTGCCTTTGCCAAAACAGTCCCCCAATGCTTTACAGCTGTTCAGTCACACTTTAAACGAGCATTAGATATTAACATACACCGATACCTTTGCCATGCATTCACACCTTATCGTAACCCTGTCTCATACCTTAACCACACATGCATGCATGCTTAGCTCAATTTAACCACGTATTTATTACAACTGCAACATTCACACCTAGAGCTGTGAATGTATTCATTACGTTCGCTATGAATTAAAACCGTAAACAAAATTACCTTTTCATAACCATGCATGCTTTCATACAGTTCGGCCGATCATATCAAAAGCTACCCATATATTGATAAAATAGCTTGACTACTCACATACGTTAGCTCCGCATGCATAGTTGACGGTAACCGCGCATGTGCCCCTGGCTTCACTGCAGCGCTGCAGGCAGCAGAGAGCCTGGACACCTGCGTGGGCACAAGCGACGCATCGCATGCATCACACGGGGTGGCACAGCAGGTATACGCGCTCGTGTGTGAACGTGTGATGTTGTGTTAATGTGTAAAAACATGGAAGTGTGTGTGTGTAAAAGTGCTATATGTGTGTATATGTGGGGAGTGGTAGTGGAGCGGTTAATACGCTGGGCTACGAACCCGACGACCCGGGGTTGATTCCTGCTCATGGCCATCACCAGTGACGATTATCTGAACCAGTCCTGGGCATTCCCTAGGTCGACTGGCCACCCACCCCCTCGTGTGCCGTGCCTGCCTTCATAGGTGCTCGCTAACAGCACTTGCCCCAACAGTCTCTTAAGGCTATACGGGAGACCTTTGTTTTGTTTTTTGTGTGTATATATCGGCATGTGTTTATTAATTATTGGACATATGAACACGTGTGAATGTGTGGACATGTGTGTTTCGGTGCAGTAAGAATCCACGAGGTTTCAAAATGACGTGGGTTAGTGCTTGACTCCTTCACAGCCCTGAGCCAGTGATGGAATTTCCATATTCCTATGATGGGCCAGTCTCTTCATAGGACGATTGCTTCTAGATTTGAAGCTTTCGTGACTGCAAGGATCCATACTCTTTGGTTCTATTTGGTAAAGTCACGTAGGTAAAAAATAAAACAAAAAATCACGACGTTTCGGCCACAACACAAGTGGCCTTCATCAGGTGAAGGGACCATACTGTCCAGAGGACAGCGTTGGAGTGAAGACAGCCAAGATGCTGACCTTCCTCAAATGATGCCGCGACCACAAGCTTAAAGGACGCGACCTGGGCTTGGCTGTCTTCACTCCAACGCTGTCCTCTGGACAGTACGGTCCCTTCACCTGATGAAGGCCACTTGTGTTGTGGCTGAAACGTCGTGATTTTTTGTTGTTTTATTTTTTACCTACGTGACTTTACCGAATAGAACCAAAGAGTAAGGACGATCGCTCTAGACTTTACAAAAATTGGTACCTATTTTATTGACCATGGAAAGGTCAAGATCAAGGGCTGATTTGACCGCAAACCCGGATTAAATCACTCAACTGTCTGATTGAACTGAAAGCTGCAGTGTCCACCTGGCCAAATTATTTTCGTGTGAACCTGCATTCTCGTATTGATGTACGAACCCATGCTGCGGTACAGATGCCTCATTGCGGTTTTATTCAAACCAATGCAAGAACGTACATGCACTTGTGCAGACACGTTGCCAATCCACTGCTGTATGAGAGCCTCCCTGCACCGTGCAGGCCAAGGGAGTTATTTGACCATACTTCACCACACTGGTCAGTGTGTGAAGGTGGCTCGAGCACAGGAAAAAAACATGCAAAGCATGTGACACATTATCCGGCTGCATTTATATTAATTTTAATAACGTTTGAATTGGCACAAAATAAATAAGTCGTTTGGATTTAGGTGTAATGATAGGGCTTTAGAAGTGTGAATACGACAGAGACCTATTAGCGTCTATTTTCCAAGTCACTAACTCCCCAGCCACTCTGATGAATGTCGAAATAGTTAAGCGGTGTTTTTAATAATATTTTTCTTTAAAAGCACGAGGTGTAATTGATTCAGATACTGGGGCAGAAAGACAGGACACGTAAGAGTTTAAGCTCTCTGTTGTCATGTTTTTTTTTGCTCATTAAATCATGCAAAATGCACACACTGGCAGACGATACTCATGGATACATTTACGAGAGCCTCTTCTGAATGCACTGGCATGGGGGTACACGTGATGGATGTGCTAGACCAAACAAGATTAAACTTCTTTCTGAAGTAAAAAACAGCCCTGTACGAACCTATGGACAGAATGTGACTATATTAATCAGATGAGCATCTGCTTAGATAAACGAAACTATTTTAAACCAGAATTTTTATTTTATTTTATCAGGTAAGGCCCACTGAGCTATATAGCTCTTTTGCAGAAGAGACCTGGCCACAAATGATAGCGCAACCAAGTGGGTTATCACGTGGAAATGTATGGCGGCCCAAATACTCTAAACGCATGTTTCTAAATGTGGAGGGAAAAACCAGAGGTCCTGGAGAAAAATCCACGCGACCACGGGGAGAACATACAAACTTCAAATATTCAATCTTGATTTGAAGCGTTTGTGATTGCAGAAATTACTCTTTAATTCTTTCGGTAAAGTCACGTAGAAATAATTTTAAAAAATAAATAATCGAACACGACGCTTCGTTTGTAACACAAGCAACCGTCATCAGGTGAGAACTGTATGTAAATGCAAGCTCGGAGAGAGACACATACAGAGAGAGAGAGACAAACACAGACACGGAGAGAGACAGAGAGACACAGAGAGAGAGACACACACAGGAGAGCAGGGGCAGAGCCACAGGGGGGGCTGGGGGGGCTCAGCCCACCCTGAAATTTTGGGAAAGTCGGTAATCGGGATAGCCGGATATCCGGCTGCTGCAAAATGCTGCAGGCTGCCACCTCGTGCTGCCCTGTAGGCTGCCACCTTGTGTGCTGCCCTGCAGGCTGCCACCTTGTGCTGCCACCTTGTGTGCTGCCCTGCAGGCTACCACCTTGTGCTGCCCTACAGGCTGCCACCTTGTGTGCTGCCCTGCAGGCTGCCACCTTGTGCTGCCCTGCAGGCTGCCACCTTGTGTGCTGCCCTGCAGGCTGCTTGAGCGGCAGCCTTTCGAACTTATTGAACTTATTAGCCACATCAGCGGCTCCGACCTATTAATAAACTCCGCGTTCAAATACAATAAAATTGTTTTTATACATTTGTGGCGCCTATTGGAAAACATAAACACTGGATATCAGCCCCCCCAAAGTCAAAATCCTGGCTCCGCCCCTGCAGGAGAGACACATAGAGAGACACGCCTCTGTGACGAGGTATTAAATCGCGAGAGAGGGTGGGGGTTGGGGCAGAGAAATTAGCATGTCAAATATACAGGCGTCAGGATTGATCCCACGACCTCCTGCAGACCGGGCGAGGTAGTTAACATCTTGCCACTGTGGCACCCCCAGATAGCCTCACCCACCTGGTCGATACGTTTTTTGCAGTCACAAATATAGCAACCGATTGCATTATTCACGAATCCCATGTAAATTAAAACAAAACAAACAATTTCTTTAATTTCGTGCTCAGGTTTTATTTTCCACGATTATCTTTTGAAATGTTACTATGCCAATGCAGTGTCACCAACATCTCGTTAATTGTTTTATCAGGTGTGTTTTTGTTCCTCAGAAAATCTACTGAGTTGGCTCCGTGTATATTTGCACTGGGGAGGAAATCGGAGTGCCTGGAGAAAACTCACATAAATGGAGGGGACATCACCATGTGTGTATAATGCCTACAGCCTTGTTTCTGGGCCATCAACTCAACAGAGTGAACCAAATGTGTTCATTGTGCTGTCTAAAATGCGTTTAAAACTAGGCTGTGTCCATTACACAAAATATGTGGTCATGTGACACGCAGGGCACGATGAGGGGACCAATCGAACGGTCTCTCGGATTGCGCAGTTCAGACATCGCCTCGTGCGTATTATCGCCCCCAGTATTCACGACCCTTCGTCGCTGTAATTGCTTCTGCAGCAGAGCGCCATGCAGAGACTGAAGGAGCAGCTGGAGCAGAGGACGCACGTGCTGCAGACGGTGATCCTGCAGCAGCAGGAGGAGCTCCGCCACATCCAGCAGCAGCTTGCCATGGTAGCGCTCCACGCTACGCACCGACGCAGTGACACCGCCTGCCACACAATTTGGGGGGGGGGGGGGGGGGGGGGGCAGGGGTCGCACGTTATCTCTCGGCTCTGTATTTGGTTGCTCCCCCCTCTGGTTTAGCCAGGATGTCTGTTCCTAGGTGCGGCTTGGACTCGGTGGAAACCATACGAGCTGAGTACGCGGAGAGTGGAGTACCTGAGCTCAGCTCTAGAGTGTGACCTTGTTTTAAGGGGGAGGACGGGGGTAGGGGTAAGGGAAGCACGACACACGTCAATTACTTTGTATATGCTTGGGTCTTCCCTGCGTATTGCAGTTTCCTTCCATATATATACAGCACATCTGTCAATGCCCCAATACAGCACCCTCCTCAAAATGAGTTTGGAGCTTCTTTAGGAACATCCAAATGCCAAATCAATCCAAACGCTCCTGGTACAACCTGAGCACTCTTCATTGAGCTACTGCTCAATTGCTCAGCCGAGTACTACATTAGGTTCTTGAGTTATAGGCGACATTACAGACATCAAATACTCATGACTACAGGTACTCGAGGCTTGTTTTGGAACAACTAAAATGTTTGCACAAAACTTCAAAATCACAACATGTATTTATCCTGGAGCTATCCGATGAGCTATGAAGCTCTTTTTCACAGATGTCCAGTAGGGGCGGGTCAGAAAGTTACAATCAACAAACAATGAAAAAACACGATAGGAGTGCAAAGTATAGGAAAGGTAAGCAAACCGCTCAAAAATAAATACGTAAAATAAAGCATACAAGTTCAACTTCAACGTCTGTGAAACGGCGCAGGCTTTCATAATAGAGTTTTTTTGGGGGTGAGATCCTGAGACATCATTTACATAAATATTTACGCGATCTCACCCAAAAACCTCTATTCTGGATGATATTGGTCACGTGTTAAACTGGCGCAGGCTTTGTCGGAGCAGTCGACCTCTCGAGCGCCGCCTGTGGCGGACAACCCAGCGCTGGGAGCCCGGAGGTCGTCGGCGATGTTGCTCCCTCACCCCACCACCCCCGACTCTCCGGGAGTCCGTGGCCCGGGTCTGCCCGCGGTGGAGTGCAGCACCACGCAGCCGCAGTGGTAAGGGCAACGCGAGAGCAGCAGCAGCAAGCAAGCAACAGCAGTTGCGAGTGCACGAAATATCACAGCGGATCGCGATGTGGGGGGAGTCCCAAAAAAAAGAACACTCAACATATTCATCTGTTTGCCTTCAAAGAAACGGAAACATTTAATAGTTGACGTTTTGGGCAATGGGCCTTCTTCAATGCGTTCGTTTTATCGGTAATATTCCGGCTGAGTGGTGCAGCGGTTAGCGCACATGGCTAGACTCAGACCGTCACAGTGTGAATAAAATAAGAGTGAATTCAAATAAGGTGCCGGTTTATGGGAATTGTTACAGCATTTCTACTTAAATCAATCATCACCCACATTCGTGTGTATCTGTTCACCCTTCATTGAAAATCAAGCTTAGTTTTGAGCACTATTGTAAATGTAAATTCATTATATGAGTTCTTGGTGCTCTTGGCTTGATAAAAAAACGGATAAGTTTCATTGTTCAGTTGTGCAATGCGTTTCAATAACAAAGCAGAACTGCAGCACTTCAAATATGTAAAGTTCCTGAGACATTTACATATTTTTTTCCTACTCTCACTAGAATAGGATCAATAAATATAAAATAATGTTCGATTCACACCGTACATTTTTGTGAGTGCACTATGTATTGAGAAGTCAGTTTTAAGCTAAACAAAACAATTTTCTATTGAGCTCTTAGGCGTCTTAGCTCTTTTTGTTCAGAGGCGACCTGGCCACCACGTGCCTTTATCATCACAGGTGCCAAATCAATTTAAATGCGGAGGGCAAAACCGGAGGACCCAGAGAAAAGTCCACGTGACCACCACATGGAACGGAAACTTGCGCACTCCATATATACGGGCATCGTCAGGGTCTGGATCGAACCCACATCCTCCTGCATACATTTAAGTTGCACCGAATGCTGATGCTTAAAAAACAAAAGTGTGTTTTATTTCCAGGCACATGCATGGACAGCCCCATCAGGTGGTGACCACGTTAAGTGGTACTCCCATCCTGGTTTCAGCTTCCATTATGATGCCGTCCTTCACAACCTTTAGTCAACAACCGTTGATGCAGCAGCATCACCAGCATCACCAGCATCAGCAGCACCAGCAGCACCAGCATCAGCAGCACCAGCATCAGCAGCACCAGCAGCACCAGCATCAGCAGCATCAGCAGCAACAGCATCAGCAGCAACAGCATCAACAGCACCAAATAATTGACCAACAGTCACAAGCGCAGCAGAGCTGTGCTCAAAACAAGGGACAGCACTTGAGGGTGCAGGCCCAACGGAGAGCAGAAGGGCACCTGCAGCCGACACTGCTGATGCCGACCATGCTGCAGATACAACAGCAGCAGCAACAGCAGCATCAACAGCAGCAACAGCAGCATCAACAACAGCATCAACAACACCAGCAGCACCAGCAGCATCAACAGCAGCACCAACAGCACCAACAGCAGCAGCAACAGCAGCAACAACGGCAGCAGTGCAGGCGATCATCCTCAGAGAAGCACCAGTCCCCATCGCCACGGCATCAGCAGCAGCACCAGCAAGAGCACACATTGCGCTCTCCAAATGTGCAGTATCACCGTTCTATGAGCGCGGAGCCGCAACAGAGAAGTCATCAGCAGCATCAGCAACCACAGCAGCAGCAGCAGCAATTGCTATCTCAAGAGAGGCTGTTGTGGATGGCGAGTGGACAGCAGGATTCCCAGGGCTATCTGCACGCCACGTACCACGCGCCCCATGCGGTGGGCGGTGTGGCTGGGAGGCAGCGCCTGTTGCACGCGAGGTCGAGCGGGCGGCAGCAGCCACAGCCGCCTGTCGACCGCGTGCAGCGACAGCATCCCGCGGTGCAAACACAGCAACAGCAGCAGCAGCAACAGCAGCAGCAGCAACAGAGCCCCAGGTGACGCCCCTGCACAGATTGGCTGTCGCTTAGCCGGTGGGCCAGAAATGTATAAGCTTGAAGTTGCCCCCAACCACACAAATAAGAGCTGTGCACGTCGTTTGGCAGCGGGGGGAGGCTTTTGTGACCAAGCCTCGAGGCGCGAGCGCATTGTGCAGGAAGCAAGGATCTGTTGAAGGTGGATTCCCAGAAGTGGGGGTAACCCTGGATGTTTTAATCGCAAGGCCTGTTCCATGTCCTTCCTAAAAACACAGCACTTCTCGCAGAACTGTGCTTCTCAGCTTGTGACCAGCACTGTGCTGACAAATTTGTGGAACTTATTAGAGTGCCTTGCACTAAGCACCCATCACCACTTGTTCAGCCACCTGTGATTTAGATTTTATGTTAATTATTCTGGCATCTTACCCAAAGTGCAGTTTTGCATCAGCCCGAATGTGCTTTTAGCTACCAAGATTTTGACAAGCTTACGCTTCGTGGTGCTACGCATCGTGGTCCTACCATGCGGGCGGCAAGTATAATGCATTGTGGGTAATTGACTCTGCAATCCCACAATCCCCTGTTACATGTATGTGCATGCAGGTGTAGATCAGGCACGTACCATGGCTGCACACCTGGCATCCTGACGTTGCCAGCAGTGAGACAAATTAAAATCGATTTATATCGACTGAGTGTTTGCCAACAGTAAATGAAGGCTAACATAAAATGTTACGTAACTATTTGCAGTATACATATATATTTTTAAAAGAAAATCACTCTTTTCATTTTCAGAACACAGGTATACTTAATCCTTACCTATAACTAGCACACAATCCCCTGCACACCTTAAGGGCATGATTCTCCAGGGCATGTTTAGGGCAGTCGTCACCAGCAACACATTTATAATGAGCAACTATGTCAACTTGTTGTGTCAATAGCAAACAGTGGAGTTCTGTCCAAGGCTGCTTATGCCTCTTCATTACTCACGCCAAACCGTGAGTCAAGTTGGCGCATTAGCAGCCTTACAGCGGCCACGGGTGTGCAGCGGGGAGCGAATCCCGTTCCTGTCGGCCAATGAAAAGAGCGTTTGTTGAAATGTGTGTTTGATTGTTTGTGGAGTACACGGCATCAGATAGACATGTGACCGCTGTCTGTTATCTCATTTGCCCACGATATGGATCGATGGTCAGATTTGTCGATTTGGAAACGTTTTTTTTTTGCAGAGAGAATGGCGCGGATAAACCAGTGATGACAATGAAAGGCAACACTCGACATACAATTACCCATCATGGCCTTTATAAGTGTTGTTTATGGTGTTAAATGTATGTGCATGCAGGTGTAGATCAGCCACGTACCATGTCTGTACACCTGGCATCCTGACGTTGCCAGCAAAGTGAGACAAATTAAAATCGATTTATATCGACTGAGTGTTTGCCAACAGTAAATGAAGGCTAACATAAAATGTTAAGTAACTATTTGCAATATACATATATATTTTAAAAGAAAATCACTCTTTTCATTTTCAGAACACAGGTATACTTAATCCTTACCTATAACTAGCATGGTGTGCGAATGTAGGGCGACTTTGTAAACAAGACACGAGTGCACTGGACCGGTTTAATGGGCAACACTAAAATTCTTCTCCAATTCACCATTGTGCAACAATTTCAATTGTTACCGATTCACGTAAAAATGTTCTATTTACTTTTGTAGGTCACGATATTAACATCACAGTGACTATGGTGAAAGGGTGCTTGCATATCTATCATGAATGCGACTTGCTTTGTGTGCTGTTTGTTAACTTCAATGCCAGTATTACTGCCAGGGTATTTCCGTTCCGTATGTTCATATTGTGTTCGTTTACACCCACACTAACAGGACATTGTCAGTCTCAAAGCAGAAAATCTCAGTCTACATGGTCGGACGAGTGGTGGCTGATGACCGCTCAGTTTGGCAGTCCGTGAGCCTGTGGTTAAAATTCCATATTATTATTATGGCGGGGGGCAGTTCATTCTGAACACAATCACAGTTAACTTCCTAATGAGTGGCACTCGCAAGGAAGAGCGATGGCTTATTTTGACTGATTCTGGACCAACAATTCCTTTCCATATAATCTTCACGATAACAGAAACATTAACGAAATTAAGGAATGGCATCGGTTCATTCCACTTACATTTATAGCAGGAAACAGAAGGGAATTTTGGCGTAGATGAATAATTATAGTGCAAATTATGCTCGAGTAATTGACATTTAGAGAGGCCAGTCATTTTGTACTGTGAACATGATGCGATTTGCCAGGAAGGCGTGTGACCTTTAAACCCTGAGTAAACCAGGCTGGGGCAGCTAATGTCTCTTTAAGGAAAATGTATTTATGCATCGAGCCATTGTTACACAAGCGAGGCTTGGCTAGTCCAGTAGAGCTTTAAGATAACATTCTGAACATGTGTCTGCGTTTGTATATGTATATGTAGTTTTGTTCTTTTACATACAAAAATGTGTCCAAATGGATTCTATAAACATATATATATAAAAACATTAGAATGTAAATGTTTGGTATGTGCATAATCAAAACATCATATACGATAAAGCAAATATGACAATCATAGTTAAAATGTGTAAGTCTCTATGTCTCGATTTATGTACATGTAGTGAGTTCAACTGAGTCGCAGACGTTCTGCTTCAGAGGCAACACATTTATTACACAACACGTGTATACAAAAGGAGCAGCTGCCCCTTTCCCAGATACAGCCCAGTGGGGTGACCACCCAGCTAACTACACTACCATACAGGAGTTATGGCTACGACGGACTGGACCCGAACTTGGGTCCCGGGCCACGTGTTGGTGCCTCTTCAGACGTAGGACGTAGAGCTTCCAGCTTGCAGAACGAAGCGACTCCGGTCCCTCCAAGGGAGCCACCTTATATCCTCCCGGGTCGGGGCCGGCTCCGCCCTCGGCCCCGCCCTCGGCCCCGCCCTCGGGCCCCGTCCACCTTCGAGAGCGTTCCAGCTCTCTCGATCCCTCTCGAGAGCTCTCCCCGGACACGTGATCACCCCCCACCCCCCCCCCCCCCCACCTGGGGCCTTCTCTGTGGACACTCCAGATCGCGTGTCTACGGGGTCAACCAGAGTGCCATGGCCCGGGGCAACCCTGTCCCTGGGCTGACACTCTCCCACTCCCTCTTGTGGGAGCCCGCACTGCACGCTGTGCGTGGTCCCCACGCTATCCCAGCGCTCACCAAGCCCTCACTAGGGCTGGTACTCCACCCACCTACGGGGTGTACGCGATGACGGTGCATCGCACGCCGTGCCCTGCTAGAACCGGCCTCACTCTGCAACACACACGGTGCTGTCCGCAATGTAAGGACATCGCACGCTATGGTCCTCTCGGGCCGCACCATACAGTGACATCCCCAATGTCACTACATATACATGCACGTTTTCATCGCAATAATATCTGAATAAAGGTTTTTGGGTTAGATCGCGTAAGTATAAATGTGTCGTAACCCTCCACCACCCGACACAGCCAGCAAGGGATTTGTCACGTAAATAAAACGTGCCATCAGTCACTCCTTGTACCCACCGGTGTGTTGGAGAGTAAATCCACAACATTTACAATTTGAGTAGTTCGACGTTTCGCTGGTAATTACATCCAGCATCATCGGGCGATTTTCCAGAATAGTGCATTGCTTCAGTGGATTGCTTAACTTTTCCGGCAAATCGTACTCAAATTGTAAACGTTGTGGATTTACTCTCAAACACCGATGGGCTGAAGTCGTAACTAATTGGCACGTTTACGTTACGAACCTTACTGGCTGTGTCGGGTGGTGGAGGGTTAAGACACATTTCTACTTAAGCGATCCAACCCAAAAACCTTTATTATGAATAATTTGTCGCCAAAGCCTACGTGTTAAACTGAATATTCTTTGACCCGGATTGTTTATACTCCTAAATGTTAAGCTTTGCAGAAAATTCGCGTGAATCGCTTGTCAAGGGGTTTGCTGTTTTATAGAACACATTCGTGACATCGCAATAGCAAAAGCAGATGCCACCGATAATCAATGTGTATGCCTCGAGACAGCGTTTTAAATCTCTAACCTGTCGTTGATTCGGTTACAGTTAATTCCTTTCTCTCGTATACATTCGCAATTCGTTGCGTCTGAAACATTAATTTAAACATGTCCTGCTACGCAGGACAGCAATGCACTATTCTGCTATATATTTCCATCACATTTATAGAGCGCATTCACCTCCTCGATATGCAAACGCATTCTGAATACCGTAAATAGCACTTGGTAAATGTTACACCGTGGACTTAAATATTTATAACAAATCTGTGTACCAATAATCGTTAAAACCTAACCTTAAACATGGCAGTAGTTGTCAAGCCAAAGTATCTTCCTGCTCAAACGAGGAGTGGGGGTGGCACTCATCTGTCGATAGCCCCAAGCTAGTTGTGGAAATTCCACATTGCCACGGTTGGGTACGGCTGTATATCCATAAATAAATCGCCGAGACGCAGACAATCTACGATGTGACTTTTCATGTAACAGAAAGTCTATTCCAGGCAGTCACGATGGCGAGATGTTAACTACCTCACCTGGTATACAGGAGGTTGTCTGTTCCATCCTGACCCTGATGTATGTATATTTGGAATTTGCATGTTCTTCCCGTGGTTGCTTGGATTTTTCTCCGAGTCCTCCGGTTCTTCCCTTCACATTTATAAACCTGCGTTTAGAGTATTTGGCTGCTATACATTTCCACGTGATAAGCCACTTTGTTGCGCTATCATCTGTGGCCAGGCGGCTTCTGGAAAAGAGCTATGTAGCTCAATGGGCCTTATTTGGTCAAATAAAAAAAATAGTTAAGCTTTAGTCATCATTATCGTCACCCATGAGCTATCCATCTCTCAGGATCCTGAGATGGATTTTTAATCCAAGAATCTCGCTTCTGCCCAGAAGCTGATCTCGTAGCTGAATTGCATTCGTTACTCGTCATGGTCTGAATTGTTGAACACAGTCGAACCACCATGCACATCGCTTAAAGCAAAATTTATTTTAAAAAAAACCCCATTACACATCAATTAAAGCAAAATTGGTTTTACAAAAAAATATATTGAACACTGTCGAACCCCCCATTAGACGTCGCTTAAAGCAAAATTGTAAAAAAAAAGTGTTGCTAGAAATGGGCATGCGGTGGCGCTAGATAATCGAGCTTCACGAAAAAGATGCTTGTACACAACACGACACTACTGCAGTGTGACGAGGGAGAGGCTTCAATTGGCGTGCTGGAGAAGCTGCCAAGCGCGTGAGAGTGAAACGTCGGACATCGTGCCTCACAATACGCAGTCCAACTCGAAATAGCATCGTAGAAATATGAAGATCATGGTGATCTCATTCGCCGAGCTGTCGTTGACGTGTTTTAACAACGCTGGCCCGGTTTGACGAGTTTTACCTGGGTCTGCATCATTCACTTACACTGTACATTGTTTCAGATAGCAAAAAATAACTCGAATCAACGCAGATCAACAACAAGAGGCGAGGGAAGGCGACTCCACAACCCCAGGTCTTTTGAGCCACCACGGTGCATAATTCCACATTTAGCGATCATTTCCGTTCAAATGCAAATGAAGCGGTTACACGCTAGACGTGCCCTATTATTGGTAAACACGTTCAAGGTCCACGCAGGGCGCGGTTCATTAATGCCAATCAGCGTTCTCTGCATCACATGGGACAGAGACAAAGATCCCCCGCTATAGTGCTGAACAGACTGGCGGGGCTAGTGCTGTGAGCGAGTGGCACCGATGAAAGCAGGCACGGCACACGATGGGGTGGGAGGAAAACACCACGCCCGCACCAGGTACACATTTTGAGGCTGAGTCGACCTAGGGGAGGCCCAGACCGGTTCAGATAATCGTCACCGGTGTTGGCCGCGAGCGGGGATCGAACTGGGGTCTCCGGGTTCGTAGCGCAGCGTAGCGCTAACAGCTACCGCATGGGACACACGGACCGTACACACACCCCGAGATTTCCATCTTAATTTAAATAAGTGCCCTAACGTCACTCGGTACACACACACGGACACTTTACACACAAATAGCTCTCTATCTTAAATTAAATCGGATCTCTCCAGACCACGTGGAAAACGCGTTTAGACACCCACGCGCAAAGCCTTGATTTGAATCAGCGGTCTCTATGCCACCTGCAACGTAATTACCAATCATCAGGTGCGTGGGGCGCGTAGCGACCTGTATTCAAACGGAGAAGATTTGTAAAGAGGAAATACTGATCACGGATTAGTTAACGTGCTCGTATTTGAACTTAAACAACAGTCAAAAAGTGTTGCGGTTTGGAATGGTCTCCACGAGTCCGGCGATTAAAGGGACGACCAAAGGTTAGATGGTTGGTAGACTGCCAGGGCATATGGTGTTAGGGGTCGCTGTGTCTGCCGTGCAGCAGCAGCTGCTGCTGGATCTGGTCGAGGGGAGAAGGCGTGTGGTTGCGAGATTGATGATGATGGTGGTGGTGGCATGAACGGCTCTGCCCTGGATGAGATCTTGATCTTTAACCCACCCTCCCTCCACCACCACCACCTTCTCTGAGCACCTGCAATGGACAACACACCACTGGTAGTAACGGTTTTAAAGTCGCCATGCAATTCAGTTGATGTGACGCGCACGGTACAGACTACAAATACAATCCATGGATCGTTCTCTTCTCCTCGGTCGAGGTTTCTGTCGCTTTCTAATCATGGACACGAATTTTGCCTCTTGTCCTCGTGATGGCCATTTCCCAGTGCCTCCCGATGCATTTGCATCTGGACCTTCATCATCACCAGCCACGGTGTATCCACTGCTGGATGAAGGCCTCCGTTTTAAACGGTGCTGCCGTGAAAGAATCCCTCTTACCCTGAGGCTGCACCCATATCCCCCCTGGATAGTTGATTCTGAATTCACAAGTTAGACCAGGGGTGAGGCGCGCACGGTCACATGTTGCACTTTCGGGCCACGAAAGCAAACACCAACGTGGCCCTTCATCTTGCATTGGGAATATTGCATTGGGTATGAAGGGCAGGCACAACCACGGTGGATTTTACTTCAGGAACAAACAACACATGACGCCCTCGTCGGCTCCTGGTGTCGTGGCGTCGTTCATTCACGCGCTGCGCCACCCGCAACGTCACGGACACATTTTGATGAATGACAAGAGCATCCGCGGGGTGGGCGTGGGTCGACTAACGAGTTTCTGGGGTCGACTAACGAGTTTTTGGGGTCGACTAACGAGTTTCTGGGGTCAACTCACGAGTTTCTGGGTCGACTAACGAGTTTCTGAGGTCAACTAACGAGTTTCTGGGGTCGACTAACAGTTTCTGGGGCCGACTAACGAGTTTTTGGGGTCGACTAACGAGTTTCTGGGGTCGACTAATGAGTTTCTGATGTCGACTAACTAGTTTCTGGGATCGACTAACGAGTTTTTGGGGTCGATTAACGAGTTTCTGGGGTCGACTAACGAGTTCTTGGGGTCGACTAAC